TTTTGCCGGTCTCGAGATGAAAAATCGGTACAGAGGCCCAGCGCACACACAGACACACACACATACGAACACACACACAGACACACACACAGACAACCTCTCGTCAATATGCATTTTTCGCACTGCATTGCTGCAAAAAACGCATAAAAACAGCTGTAAGGCCATTAAGAACAGTAACAGGAAGTAAAGTCCAACCAAAAAAAATTTTTTTTTGATCTTGTGTTGGAAGCAAACCTTATTTTGAAGACAGCTTTTCGCACAGTTTTCCAATAATGCACAGTGCCCATCTGAAAGTACTGTTTCAAGAGTTCATTAGTTTTTTTGCAGGTGATTGAGGTATTACTGCCTAAGCATAAATTACAAAAAAAAACTATAAATATGAAACATCCTGTGAATTCAGAAAAATCTTTTAAAATCTTTGCACAGGAAATTCAATAATTTCAGGGGTACCTCATTTTTTCCTATCACAAAAGTCGAAGCTTTAGCGCAAAAGCTAACGTTCCAAAAAAAACAAGAAGTTGGTAACTGGACAAAAGTACCGAAACGCTCGTGTAGAAGAGCTTTGCGAATCTGTGTTTGAGCATATTGGCAGCTTTCGCATAGTTTGCAAGCTTCATGGCATTGTGGACCAAGTACGCAGCCGAAATTGGCATGCTGCAGCATGTACTCTACCACCTAAAAAATGTCTCTAAGAATGGAAGAATTGTTATGTGAGAGGATGACTGATGAAAGAAGGAGAAAAAATTTTTTTGAATGCCAGATAAATTGATCTGAACAGGAATCAATTAGAAATGTGCATTTTGTAAAGGTGAAATTCAAAAATTGCCAAGTGTAATAATGCTTTGTCAGAATTAGCTAATAATACAAGGACCAGCGAATTTCGAAATTTTTTCTGTTTTATAGCCCAATCAAGTGTCACTTGGGGAATTTGAAAATTTCCAGATAACTTCCTGCTCAGTTAAAATTAAAAAACCCAAGCGAGAACGCGCACCAGGCGGGCCGGAGCGATTATGCGTTTTTGCACTTTCGTACCGTAGCAAGATCGCAAGGAGTAAGTGTAGCTACCAGGCGGGCCGGTGCGATTATGCGTTTTTGCACTTCTCGTGCCGTAGCAAGATCGCAAGGAATCACAGTAGCAAAACCTGTGACACACTGGCCCTCGAAGTTCGGGAAGTTAATTGTGCAACTATGTGGTATGTCAGTTGTAGATGTCGGCTTCAGTGACCCGGCAAATGGAAAGTTGCTGGTCCGCAAAAAAGGCCACACTAGAAGAGCTAAGTTTAAAATCTTTTGGTCGCACATGAGCAGGAAACATTCCCTTAAAATTAAAGCCTTCAGCTTTTCCCCTTCCTGAGTAAGCGGTTTTCCCAAGTACTGAACAGTTTTAAGGAGCGGAATTTAAAATATTTTGGTCATACGTGAGTAGGGAACATTATCCCAAAGTTCCAGCTTTCCAGCTTTTCCCGTTCCCGGGTTAGTAATTTTCGCGTTAAAATTTCCACGCGCTCGTATGTGAGCTCAGGCGCTTCTAAACACTTGATTTTGCTCGTATATGAGTAGGGAACACTTCCCTAAAGTTTCGGCTTTCCAGCTTTTCCCGTTCTCGGGCTAGTAATTTTCGCGCCAAAATTTCCATGCGCTCGTACGTGGGTCCTGGGCGATTCTGAACAACTAGTTTTGGCCGTACTTGTGTAGGAAACATTCGCCTAAAATTCCAGCTTTCTAGCTTTTCGCGTCCCCAAGTTAGTGGTTCTCGCGCCAAAACTTCCACGTGCCCGCACGTGGGCCCGGGCGCTTCTGAACACCTGATTTTGGTCGTACATGAGTGGGGAACATTCCCTTAAAGTTTCAGCCTTCTAGCTCTTCCCGATCCCGGGTTAGTAATTTTCGCGCCAAAATTTCCACGCTCTCGTATGTGGGCCGCGGGCGCTCCTCAACAACTGATTTTGCTCGTACATGAGTAGGGAACATTCCCCCAAAGTTTCAGCTTTCTAGCTTCTCCCGTTCCCGGGTTAGTGATTCTCGCACCAAAATTTCCACGCGCTCGTATGTGGGCTCGGACGCTTCTAAACACCTGATTTTGGTCGTACATGTGTAGGAAACATTCCCCTAAAGTTTCTGCCTTCTAGCTTTTCGCGTCCCCGAGTTAGTAATTTTCGCGCTAAAAATTTTCACGTGCCCGTACGTGAGCCCCAGGCTGTCCTAAGGAGCCGAGTTTGAAAACTTTTGGCTACACACGAGTATGGAAT